AAAACAAGTTCCGCGGGACCCCAGATATCTCCCCCCGCCCCAGACACCTTGCCACCTTGCTCCCAGCTCCGAGCTCTCCATCAGGTCACTCTCCCCCCCGCCCCAGACGTACTGACACCTTGCTCACCGCTCCGATCTCTCCAATCGGTCACATTCTCTCCTCCCTTTTTTTTAAGAGGGAGGCAGGGCGAGGAGGTTTGTTGCTCACTTACCTTCCCAATGATGCTTCCCACCTCCTGGGATGGAAACAAAAGCGGTAATTAGTCAGCGCTTAAAAAAAAAAAATCGAGTCCCAAGCTTAAACAACCTCCTTTTATAGCCAAAACAAGTTCCTCGGGACCCCAGATATCTCCCCCCGCCCCAGACGTACTGACACCTTGCTCCCAGCTCCGAGCTCTCCATCAGGTCACTCTTTTCCCCCCCCCCTCCCCGGGCTGTTATTTTTATTGATGCGCTTGCGCTTTCAAAGCGCTGCCTCGCTCGTCATGAGATATCCAGGAGCCGGCCGGGTGCCAAGGAACACATTCCTAACACCGCTGCCTAATGGCTGCAATAACGAGGCAGCTCCGAGAAGTCCAACCGACGGGATTTACTGCCATGGAAGCACCCAGCCTCCATCCAGTCTGCCGGAAGGGCCAGCCCTGCATCGGGTGAGGGGGCTTCGGCACGACCCCGCGCCCCACGGACACGTACCTTTCCGTGCATAAGTAGTCGGATGGTGAGCGTGACATTTAAACCACCTTCAATGACACCGGTGTCCATCTTGAGCTGCGTTGGGTTGAGTCAGGCTTCGTCAGTGGTCAGATCTTTGGTCGCTGGGCGAGCGGAGCTACGAACGAGAGAGGGGTTGCGTTTTGAGGGGCTCTGCCAACCCTCCCCAGCCGGTTTCAGACCCATCCCAGGGGGGTTTTCAAGCCCCACTACGCTTTCTTCTCCCCTTGAATATCCCCCCTGGCAGTTTTAGGGCCACGCTCCTCTCCAGGCAGCGATCAGGAGAGCCGATCCACGGCGGTTCAGCTCCCCAACAGGCTGGCTCCCTCCTGCCAGGCATTTTCCAGGGCGGATGGTCTGAACTGGCACGATCCCACCTGCATCGAGCAACAGCCGGAGCCGCCAGGGTCTCGCTCGTCCCCTGCCTCCTTCCAGCCCCGCTCCTCGCAGAGGCTTCGCCTACAGCTCCGGGGGACTTGCCTCTACTTGCGAGCCCCACACCTTAAATCTAGATTACGAGCTTTCCTCCGCAGCTGCGTGTGGACACACATGCGCCAGACGGAGCGACCGCCCCGTTTCCCTTCGGTTTAACCCGCTTGGGAAGCCGGGCTGTTGAGAAGAAAGAAAATAATAACTTATCTGCGCCCTGAGCCTGCACGGGGAGGCCTTTCGGACCGGTTTCCAAGTTGATTTACTCAAACCAGATAAGGCCACATGAGCACACGATCAGGTTTCAAACAACCTCCGGCCTGAGTCGACAGCAGTTGCAAAACACCGCGACCGGCCACCAGCTCGGCTAGTCAGGCATTTAACTTTTAAAAATAAATTAAATAAGCTGAATTTCAGCTCTTGTTTTTATCAGTCCGGCTGGTCACCACCCCATCAAAGTTTAACCAAGCCCAGGGAAAGAAGAAGCCGGGGCGAGGGCAGGGGGGATTAATCTGGCAGGGGACCGGGCCAAGCGGGCAGCGCTGCCGCGCTCCGGGTTAATGCTCTTTTAAGGGGAACCCACTGGTACAGAAGGGTTTGGGGTTTTTTTTGCCATAGCGAGGAGCTACGGCCTCCTCAAAACTCAGCCTGACGTCCCGTCGGATCCAAAAAGGCGCCCGTTTGCTTAGTTTGGAAAGAAGGGCCCAGGATCCGAGCCCGGCAGCCGCAAAACCAGGAGGAGAGTCTAGACCCGAGCCCACGAGTTGGTTGTTTACGAGTTTCCTGGTTCACCGGAGGTGGCAGGAGCCTCGCTGGCACCCGCCGCCGTCTCTCCGGCTCTGAACCCACTCCTCCTCCCACCGGTTCAGCGTCCCAGTTCGCCTTCGTTAGCATTAATTTGCTTTCCTAGCAGCGGTTTTGCCAGTCGAACGAGCTTGGGTCGGTTACGGGGCCACCTCGCAGCCCGCCGGGGACAAAAGGAGCTGACCAAACCTGCCGGGTTACGCAAAGGGAGAAGCGAAGCCGTGCGGGGCAGGCCGAGGCCGGCAGGCAGCCATCGCTCCGATTCGGGCTCACTGCGAGGTTCTTCCGCAGGAAAACTTCCCCCAAACTTCTCCTTACCTCCGTCCAGCAGCCCTGCCTGCCCCCACGGCGCACACGGAGGGCCAGACCCCTGCCCGCTGCCTGTACCGAGATCAAACACCCACCCGGGGGCCTCCCCACTCAGGATCCCAACCCACAAACGGGGGGAGTTTGGGGGGGGGGGGAACTGGTTGCCGGGGCAGGGATTTGGCTCCAAAAACAACCTGTCCCTGAGGCAGGGGGAAGCGTGGCTCCAAAACCAGCTCATCCCTGCGGCGGTGGGGGGCAGGGGTGAAAAACAAATCCGGGGCTGGAGATCCTGGCTCCAAACCT